AAATTCCCTGTTCCTTGCTCGTCAACAACTTTAGATCCATCCACTACAAATCCAAGGTCAAAAGCAATGAAATTACCTAAGGTTTAGAGAAAAGCACATAGTTATATGCGAAACTATAAGCAGAGACGTGATTTTATCAAATTAGTATAATGCATTCTTGAGTCCGATGAGAGCTATTTCTAACAGAGTTAAGTCTACATATGAAAGTCACATTAAATTTAACAGTCAGTGAGCTAATTACCGTGGGAGAAAGTTCCAACGTTGAATTCTATTTAATATATATGTCCATAACATTTATAAGGCTAAGGCTTTTAAATTTAAAATTTTTCAACTTTTTCGCCTTGTACATAGCATGTTATTTTAGCATTCTTATATATTTCACTAATTTTACCATTGGTAGATTGTCCTCTTTTCTCCCGGTGATTATCAGCAAGACGTCTCTTTCCTTTGTCATTTTCTTTCCTTGATTTAAGTAACCATTCTATAGAACCCACATCTGGAATTTTAGAAGTAACACTTCTTATTTGTACTCTTTTGTGAGCAAGTTCCTTGTTTTTAGAACGTCTTCTGACTCCATTATTAAACGTCGAGGCTCTGAAATATCTTGCTGGAGGAAGGAAATTTAAATAGTACTGCTCGTAATTCCCAGCTGGATTTATGGAAAACAGTCTTCTCCTTCTCAAATGTTGGCTTCTACCTGATTTTAAACCACAACGAAACATACATGAACAGTAAAGCAGAATTTCTTAAAACAAAACGTTATTTGGGAGTTATAGAGACAAAATACTGCCTAACACATATTGCTGCGTTTGTCACCACCATAACAGCAATCATAGAAGACCCAACCTAACATATTCGTAAAATGTTTCATCATAGGCACTGCGTTCATACAATGCACTGTGCAAAACGAAAACCCTAACAAGTGCGCTACTATATAAATAAGCAATAATTATCTTGATATTAGATTTGGTCTCACGGACTAGATTGATTAAAAACAGATTAATAATATCACTTGCAACTGGTGTAAATAATAGGCGGATCCATTTAGTGCAGTGTGCAAAACTGACAAAAACCCAAACGGGTGTGCAACTGTAATAAGTAAATATAATATTATCTTGCTATTGAGTTAGGTTTGGTCTCATGGAGCTGACTTGTTTTAAAGAAAAACCATATAATTCGATAAGCCTTAATTTTATAAGTTCTTTCTTCTTTTAAGGTATATCAATAGCAACTAGTGTAAATAAAGGGTGGTCAGATATCTATTCAAAATAATTTGACCTGTAAAAGCCAGTGTCCTATTTCTGCTCGGTGTTGACCCCGTTTCATAAGTAATTGACTTTGAATACTATACGTTGATATAAGCTCCGGAGTTGTCGGAGGTAAAACAAAAATTGCCAGGGTGATCAACCAAACAATCTGTAAAATAACGTGCTTATAAGTGCAAGTGGCCCTATTCGCCGGGTGATGATATATATATATACAAATATACGGTTCTGTTATCAAGCAATTAACAAAGATGATTTGTTTATAAAAACGTCAAACGGCAGGTGAATATTTCAGCCATACCTTGTAAACAAGCAATATACATGCTGTTAAACCTAATCTAGCGTAATTGTACCTGACCTTTGAAAATGTTTTCCACTTGACCACTGGCTCCATGAAAAGAAAGTACAATTAAGGTCAAGATGATCTTCAGCAGGTCTATCAAACAGTATCCTATTTGTGTGGAAAAGAGCAGGTTAATTCTATTACTTTTTCTTTGTCCCTGACAAGAAATTCATGCCACAGTAATTTACTAGATTATACCTGTATACATTATTTCCTATTCGCCAAGTTTTGGAAGTCATCTTGTGATGTGGTTAAAGATTGTCCATTTGTCTTAAATCATTATCACAGGCTATTTTTCTGGTACCGGTACTTTTGTTTACCCGACCACGACAAGGAACAATAGATTACCAGGCTTGGATTTCAACGTACATAATAGAGAACCAGACGAGAGCATTAAGGTGATTCCCTAGTAACAGAACCCGCCATAGATTTCCGATGAAATTTGGTATGCTGTTGTTACAGGACAAGGAGATAATAAAAACGTAGTAAAAAGAGGGTGTCACGTTGCTCGTTTTCACGCCACAATGCTGACAAATACGAAAATTTAGGTGAATTTTGGTAATCTCCGTGCGCAACAAATAAGGCTTCATTGAAAAATAATCGAGCTTATTAAGCTCGATTATTTTTCAGTGAAGCGTGCTATATCACACAGAGTTTGACTTTCTTTGATCGTTTATTCATCTACGTCCCAGAAAAAACCCTGCATATTTTTACCCTTTAAAGGAAAGATAATTTGGACATGCGCTGTTGGGCCCGTTATGTCTCCCTCTGTAGTATTTATTTCATTTACCACAAAAGTGGCCATAGATTTCTACTACTTTTTTCTCAGTTATTTGGGATATTATTCTCATTGAAATTAGGAAATAAAAAGTGGGGGTCACAGTGTTCGTTTAAGAGAAAAGGAGCATTTATCTCGCTATCGAGCTTATTTTGAGGGAAATCTCTTGTGTATTGTACGCGCACGCGCTGATGACGCGAAAATTGTGCGCAGTAGGGATGCGCAATGCAATACTAAAGAACACCTTAAGTTGGACCAATAAGGAAATCTTAATAAAGGTAATTTTCTTTATGTAATCATTCAGGCGTGGGCATCCATATTGCATTTCACTACAATTTCAAAAGAAACTGCTCCATTGAGGATTGAAATATTACATTTATATTAGGTTTTGCCCATCGAATAATTCTGTTACATTGAGTCGAAAGTTGACTTTTTTGTAGCAATCAAAAACATAAAAGCGACCGAATTAAATTACAAGATAGCGGCTTCATGCAAGTAGCATAAATCACACTGAGTATTGTTGAGTAAACATTGTTAAGACTTAAACCACAACCGAGATATAAAAAAATCGTTTTTGAACGAACACAATTTGGATTTTTTTTTCCAGTGAAGAGCATATAATAGTTTGTTGCATGTTCCGAAGAAGTGGTTGCTGTTTAATTTGACCTTATTTGCTTTATTTTGTTTTTGTTTTACCTTAGTTGAACCATGCATGCTGTTATTATGGCCTCGTGTTCAAAAAAGGACAATTCTTAAGAAAAAGAAAGGGCTGTAAATCATGATTTGTTCTTTTCCTACCTTTCTGGCGGGACTTTAAATTTCCCTCAAAGTGCGCTGTCTCATTCAGAAGTCGTACGGGACATTTTGAGGAAATAGCTTTTCAAGATAGACGAATGATATGCCAATAATTTTATTTAAGAAAATATTTCGGTTTTACCTCGTAAGCTGGCATGTTCATGTAACAGTACTTAGTTTATGTTTTAAAGTAAGGCGACCACTACTGTGCAGGGGTTAGCTTAAAACATTTCACTTAACTTTATGGAAACGGGGTATTATTTCGACTCTAAGTTTTATTTAGTTAACAGATTCATGATGGTCCATGATACTTCTGTTAAACTGAACTCCAACTGTATTATAGCACCATTTCGCAAACACTTTTCTTCTCATAAACAGCATCGATAACTTGTATTATAAAAATAAGTTATTTTGATAACTGCAACAGGTTATTAACAGATATCAGTTAGGTGTCCTCCACAGGCTACCAATTGGATTGATCATAAATCATGGGTTGTATCGAAAAGTCAAAACATCAAGTTGCGCGAACCTTGAAATATTTCAACAAAGCTGGCTGTTCAGGCCTTCTTGAGCCTTTGTTCCAAGCTTATAAAAACTATTGTAGAGATTTGGATCGAATACAGCCTAAAAAACAGAAATGTTGCCATCTAGAGTTTGTCTACGGTAGCGATATTTGTACTTTATGAGATCTATTTAAGTCCATCTGTCATGTTTTTCCACGAAGAAGGTTCATTTTGTCGCTCGGTGTGCTGTCTATTGCTTGTCACAACCTGGATCGCCATTTCGACATCAGGTTTGATCTTTATTCTCTTACGTTGACTAGATAGTTATCAAAATTAGTGTTCAGGGAAAAAATTACTTAATAAAATAACATGTGACAAGGGATAATTGGTTTTTAAGAGACATTTACAGAAAACTGACTTGGACTCGATAAATATAATTATAAGGGATGACTTACGTGTATTTATCCGTACAGCTTTAGCACGTATTTCTCCAAGGGTGATCATTTTTCACGATACACTAATTCTATGGTTGTTACATTCACTTTTAGCATCCTCGTATTCATATCAGTACGAAACAACTTTAAGATTAATGGTTCCATCGGGATTATGCAAGCAATTAATTTTGAGAACTATGGATGAACTGTTTTGGGATAAATGGATGAATCCAAAAAATAACGTCCTTAATAGTAAAGGCTCTTAAAAAAAAATGAGCAAACTGTAAGCCTTATATATGCATGCTCAAAAACTGCAGAAATTAAATATCTCTGTTTGATGCTAATGCATTGCCATTCGGCTTAAGCTTTTAAAACGCGTATACTGCATTTTAGCATTTCCAATACCTGTCTTACACCTTGATTTTCCTCAAGTTGTAACTTGCTTGTTTTCTTCGTTCTTGATATATTTGGTAAATTAGCAATATATATAGATGCAAAGTCTAAAAATTTACTAACAAATGCTGCATGATATTTGCCGACGTAGGGTCGGATATCAATGAAACTCAAGAGGTGACGAGTTTGATGGGTAAGACGAATTCCTCGAACTACGTACTCGCAGAAGTAAATATTTCAGAAAGAAAGAAAAAATAAAATCTTCAGTTAGAAAGTATGAAAATTATCCAGAGTACCAACTTCACTTTGCCTTTTTTATGGCGAATAGATCTATTATAATTTCGGTATATATAACTATTTGTTGCACAGAAATCGAGGTATTTCTCACAATGATTAAATTCAGTTTTGCCTAATTGATACATAGTTTTACACAGTGCTAGAAAATCATATCGGTATGACAATCGTGTACGCTATACAGCTGTGAACTAACCTTCGTCTTTGTGCTATTCAGATCAACTATTTGACGATAACAACGCATGCGGTACTCCAGCCATGGAACTTGGTTTCCTTGTTTCAGGAAGCTACAACGAGCTTGCAGAGAAAAACGAAAAAACGTTTAGAAAAGCTTTGAAATTTGTTAATAAAATGGCTCAGCAGATAAAGCTATCCGATTCTGGGACGCACGTAGGACTAGTTGTATATGGCAAGAAGCCTTATATGGCATTCGACTTCAACGAATATTTCGATTTAAAAAGTTTATCAGCGGCCATCGAAGAAGTGAAAACACCAGTTGTTGGAAGCAGAATTGGAGAGGCGCTATCGTTTGTCAAGGACCAACTGTACGACAAGAGCGCCCGTCCAGATATCCCCAAGGCACTAATTGTACTACTGTCCAAGGAATCTGAAGACACCGTGGATCATGCAGTGAAAGCCCTGAAAAATGCTGGAGTTAACATTTACACTGTGGGAATTGGAGGTGACGGTGATCCGTTGGAAATGAGCGACATGACTTCCAACGTTCAAAACACTTTTGCATCTGACGATAGTCATTTGGATTCTTTAGTGAAAAAACTGATACCAAAACTATGCGAAGGTAAGTGCTGTTTTAAACTAACAGACTAACTAAGAAATGATTTTCGGCAGTTGTTACTAAAATACATACCCAGGGTACTGCACTCTATTTCTTGTCTACGTCGAGTTTTTTCCACAAAAAAAGTTTTGATTTGATAGTAGCTGATAGTGTATGTGAACAAACGGAACGAAGTAGCCGTCCAGCTTCACGTATTTGAGCCATTCATGAAATAACACTGAGAAATGTCAATGGACTTTTCGTCGTTTCTAAGTCATCGCTCTGTACATAAGATATACCTCGTTGGGCTGATTTCGATGCTGCAGTCTTCTTGCTTAACCCACGGATGTGTATTCCTTGGAACTGCTCGTGGCAAGTTACTTCCATTCTTTTGTAACGTGAATGGTCTTACTTGTCTATGTAACCCTCGTTGCAGCACGTGCAAATAGATCTACATAAGGCAGCTATTCACTTAGCCAAACTGTAATGAAATGATTAGTCAAACGCGACTTACTATCTGCTCTTTCTGCTTCCTTCTTCGCCAGATCTTAAGGATACAAGTAGTGCTGAAGGTAGGCCTTAACAAAATAAACATATGAAAGTGAAGAATGATCATCGCAGTTAATTTTCCAATTTAAGCAAATGGAAAGAAGAAGCCTGAAAAAATTTATGTACTCTCTTCTACATAGCAACTGGTGAGGTTAAGGCAGCCGACAATCCTGACGCTACAAGTAAGAATTGTTCATTTCTTTCTAAAAACCCTGTAAACAAGTCCATTTGGTCAGGGCTTCAAATTGACACTTCTATGCCTCCATTACAATACCCACGAGGTAGAGACAGCCGCGATAGGCACCGACCTACCCCTGGTCTTTTCACTAAGCCGTGAAAAGCCATGTGATGGGTAGGGGCGCGGGGAATGATACCAATATTTTGTTCAAGAAACGACTGGGTATGAAACAGAAGCAAAAGCGAGTGCAAAACGGATCAGATTTTCGCCGACCACCATTCGGACATTTATACCCCATCCGGGTACCCGGAAAGGGGATACTGTGTAACTTAATACAAGGCAGAACCTAGTGTGACTCTTTCTGCTCCCTTACCCATTCAATGATACTTAGAATATTGGCGTAATATGCAACACAGTCCTTGACTTTTGTATCTTATATACGGGTACGCATTTTACCTTACAATTATTAACGTGAGCGAGATCTAATGAAACTTCCTCAGCATTTCTTAGTGGTTTTGGGGCGCTTATAATCAATTTTTGCTTTAAAAACACACACATTTTTTGATACAGGTATATGTAGCAGTTAACCCAGTTGCTTCGTTGACCATTCGTTGAATAATCGTATACCACTATATGTGTCTGCACCACTATATGTGACTGCCATGATCGCAATTAATGATTTAGCTAAAGATTGCTTTTTCAAATGATTTTAGTGAATCCACACGAAGAGCCAGGTCCAAGACCCATCTCTGTTTCATCAAACGGTAAAAAATTTGTAAATAATATGATTTTAAAAAATTAACATGTTAAAATACAAGTTTTTGCCAAGTTTAAATTGAACCACTTTAGTCTTGAAATCTTTGCTAAGGCATTGTTTCGATGCTGTCCTTGTAGGACTAACTGGTAAAAAATGCTAATCCCGGACATCTATCACAGTAGAATTGCTGGAAAAATACTAGAAACGTTTGTGGGAGGCTAAGTAGCCTGGACAATTGATCTTCTCCTGATGTCTAGTTGATTTATTTCAAGGAAAGGCTTTCATTGCCGATAAATACTTTTCTTATCTGAACAGCGATACTGAGAATACCGATGCTGTTACACTAGAAATTGCTTCGTGCAGCTCGACTGCGTCGTAGGTTAGCAGCAAATTGAGGGACAAGTTGCATAAGACGTTGCGCATGCTTTGTGTAAAACCCCCAGAAATATATATATGACGATGCCTCGCGACGTTTCTGTTGAAGCGATCGTTGCGAAGAGTAGGACTTGATCCTTAATCTCTTTCAATGTTACACAAGCATTTTTTACTAGTAACGTGCGTAGCAACAAAAATGTCAAACACGTTGCACGAAAAAACTCTCTGGTGTACTTATAACACAGCCTTGATCATAGTTGATACAGTAGTAAATTCTAAATTTACTGAAAACGTTCTTCGCCTCTATAGCGGCTCAGCTGTCTTCAGCGGCAAAGAAACCGTCGACGATGATAACAGAAGGTAAGCCATGTACGTAGCTCACGTTTTATATTCAAACTTTAGTAACTTGGTACGTAAATGTCACAAATTTTCATATTGGAACAAGAGATGCGAAACCTAACGTTATTTCCCTACAGTATAGAGTTTAGAGACCAAATGGCTCACTGTAAGGAATCCAACGAAATCTATTACCTCGCAGGTCCGCGGGCTAACAAGGTGGATCTTGTGTTTCTCGTTGAAAGCAGTGGAAAGATGGGTATTGATAACTGGAAACGAACTGTTTTATTCATGAAATACGTGGCTGATGCATTTGACGTCTCAAAGACTGGAACGAGAGTTGGAATGGTCGTGGAGGGGCGAACGTTTCACGTTGTTGTAGACTTCAATAGAATGGTCAAAAAGCCACTGCTATTGGCTGCTATGGGGTTAATACCGCTACCTTTTGGCGATCAGAAATTTGGCAAAGGACTAAGCGATGTCAAAGATCTTGTGTTAAATCCGAGTGCTCGAGCTAATGTTCCGCATGTGCTGATCGTATTGACTGATGGGAAGTCTCTCGACGATGTAACACGACCGACCCAGTCACTCATGGATAGTGCAGTCGAAACATTCGCTGTTGGCCTAGGAGAAAGGATTTCAATTGGTCAATTAGAAAAAATTGCAAGTTTTCCGACGACAAGACATGTATACCATGGCAACTATGAAGAGGTCATCAAAATTGCCAGCAAAATTGTTGCGGAAATTTACAAGAAACATTTTTGCGGAGGCTTGAACACCCTATTAAGTAATCTCTTATTAAGGAAAACAACAAGAAAGAAGAAAAGTAATGGTTAAGTAGTTAACGATCTTGAAGTGTCAACCTTGTTTATTTCGTTTTCTTCTGTTTATTTTTTGTTTTTTTGTTTTTTTGTTTTTGTTTTGTTTTGTTTTGTTATTTTTTTTTGTTTTTTTGTTTACAATTTATTTTATTTTCTTCTTTAATTTGTGACCATCCTGTGATAGCTCGGGGGCCTATTAGTGAACCAAAACCAATGATGTGTTTCATTGGTTTTGCAATGTTATCCCGCGAAAGGTGATACGTTACAAGTAATATGCCGATATACTTTTACATTTCTACGAATATGACCCCCCACCCCCCCACTCCCCCATAAAAAGGGCTAAAACAAACATCCAATTTGAGAATCGTCCGCTCTTAACCTTCCAGCAGGTTTTCATTTAGAACACGATTGAGCCTTTTCAAGGGCGAGATTTTTTACTACTTAATGCTAAGGTCATCAAATACATTAACAAAATTCACGCACACTTGCCCCTTCCCCTTCAAACTTTCCTATCTCCTATCCACTTCCCCGCCCGAAACATTTCCTATAGAAAGACTAATACAAATGAGCGTGGTGGGAATCCTTACATCTTATCTCGTATTTAGAGCAATGCATATACTCCTTTAAGGACTATTTAGCAGAAAGAATTTATTGTAGGCTTCAAATTCTGTAACCGGCTGAAAAACAAAATGCTTTGATCGTGTGAATATAAACACCGACGATTTTCTTGTAGTTGTATTTCACAGGTGTGTTCGAAACTTTACTCGTGACACATTACTGTTCCCTAAAACGTGAACTTTATAAAGCTTCACAACTTGGTATACAAGGGACTGTTGAAACATGTTTCTCAATTAATTTAAAAATAGAAAACATATGCCTCATATCTTTCGTTGTAGACCATAAGCTTCGCAAGCCTTCCATCAGCAATGATAATCAAGATGATAAAGGAAAGAAAGTGGGACACAATTCTTCCGATACTGACTCCTTTGAAGACGCGACGGACGACACGCCTTCAACTCACTTTGACATCTTTGATGTACTCTCCGAAGCGAGTAGCCAGTCTAATGATACAGTCGACGCATCTAACCAAACAACTGCAATGTACAATGAAGAGACGGAGACAAACCCTGACGAAGAAGCAACCCCAGACGAGGAAACTGTTGAAGCTGAGAACTTGTCTCCACATCAAGACCAGAGTGCCAACAGCAGTACAAAGACAGCCAAAAGTAAATAATTTTTCATCCTTGAGGGCTTTACGGGATATATATTGCAGACATGTATTATCTTAAGTTAAAAATCATTTTATAAACCTATTGGTTCCTTTTTTTAGAATTTTGATTTAGGTCACAAAGCGCCGCCGATTCACGGCAATATAACTATTATTTATGTCCTCGTGCATTCTGTGTTGCCTTTTTCAGAGAACAACTCATCTAATAAGCATATGCGGTTAAAGGACCTTGCAAACAAAAGTAAGCCTTACTGTCTGCGTGGAATTGAAATTGCTGATTGATCATTTTTGCGCCATTTTTTGACCCTCTTACACATATTAACATGATTATGCATATTATTACCTGCATTTATACTGTCGAGCGACTGTTTTGGGACTCGTGTAACTACTCTCTGTGCTAGTTCTTTCTGTTTGTGAGATCTGCCTTTATTTCCTTGATGGTTTTTGTAATTTATATTGATCTGTTCTTCTTGCTCGTTAAATCCTTAGATGCAGAAAATGCTAGATAGGCATTTATAGTGACATATTAAAATCCTGAATGAAATTTATTGTCATGGGCTTAATGGCGCGATTTCAAGTTATTCAAAACATTTTTGTGATATAATATTATACTGCATTCTCGTGTTACAGTATGCTCCGCTAAAGCTGATATTGGAATCCTAATTGACGGATCATCTTCAGTGACACAGAATAAGTTTGCTAAGTTGTTGGACTTCACAAAGAGTTTGGTAAAATCGTTCTCAGTCTCTCAGGATCGTACTCACATAGCTGTGGCAACGGCGTCCAGAGGGCCGCAAATGAGCTTTGATTTCAGGGGCTTTAACGACGTGCCAAGCATAAACACGGCCATATCACGTATATCATACCTTGGTGGACCATTCTTATTGGGTAAAGAAACTTTGTTAACTAGTACATCAAACACCTAAAAATGTCTTAAAATGTACTAAATTTGAACATTCAAATGACCCATAGAGACAATTCAGGGAATCCATATACCAGGAATCCAGAACATATCAAACATTAGTGTTTTCGATCTGTGCATTTCCTTTCCAAATTACATCTCTGTATACCTATTGCTTATGCAGGATCAAGTTTAACCGGAGTGAAAACAAGCTGGTTCAAGAACAGTGGTCGCAAAAGTATCCCTCAGCTACTCCTTGTCCTTGCTACCACTTCATCTATTGACGACATTGTAGATCCGTCGCGCGTTATGCGAGACCGCGGTGTCCGCATTGAAAGTGTGGGGATTGGGCCAGGTTTTGATGGTACGCAGTTGAAAGAAATGGCAACACATCCTGCAAGAGACCACGTAATGGCTGTGTCTAAATTTGACCTACTGCCTATGATCAGACCGCTGCTGACTTTTAGGATGTGTAGAGGTAGTTTAAAATGATAGCTTCTTACATTGTTTCCATAATTTTGTCCTTAGGTTAATAATTTTGACTTCCAGATATAAAAATATGTACATGTATAAATTAGGTACACACTACATTGCGAGAACATCTTGTATTTCTTAGAAAACGTGTGCGTTGTTCCCGTATAATGAATAGTACCTATAATGAATTCTACGACGAGGTCTCCTTCAAAGGAGCCCGGTACCGTTTTCAGAATCTGGATTTTGAAAATATCCGGCTTACTGAAAGCAACCTCTCGCGTTATAATCATACAGCTACTTGCTACTTGGTATTGTATGGGTTCATTTTTTAGCTAATCCGCTACAATTTATTCACAGCTGTTGGAGGAAAACTTGTTTCGCGACCAGTTTCTGGTATGTTTTTCTTTTTTTTTTTACTTCTCCTTGTTTAATGATCTTTTTTTCATTTAAAGTTTCCAATTTATGTCGGTTATGCTCTCTTTTTCTGGCAACTACGTACGAAAGGTCCGATCTTGACAGATCGCAATTAATTAAACAACGAATCAGTCTTTTGGTTATTTATGATAGTTGTGAATGTTATTTAGAGATTTACCAGCTTCAAGTTGACAAAGCGAGCGACTAGTAGCGAGTTCGTGAAGCTGGCGATTCGAGTGTTAGCCTTTCGTCACTTTGCTCTGATGAAGGGTGAACGCCCGCGAGACCTACCCATCACAATCACCCTACGGTGGTTAATTCATCTCTACCAACTTCAGATTTGTACATGGCTAAGTGTTCCCCTTGCCGCTGAAATTTCCTCTGAATCTAACACCTTTGTGAACATTATTTGACAGTTACTGACATCTTTTTCTTAAAACTTTCATTTCTCAGTTTGAGTGGAGTAAGTTTGCTATGAAAGCCTTTGACAATTGAGTATTTACATTTTTTTCAGACACAGTTTACGAAAAACATCCAACACAAAATCCCGCCGCCGCGGACAACAAAGAACCCATTATCAGCACGAACAAAGATCAACAGTTACCAAGAATTAAACAAACAAAACAGAATAAACAGGTTATTCATGAAAAGCAGTTAAATCCAGACAAGCAAGAACAGAAGAATAAATTAGCGGCCACTCTTAAACAACTCGATCAATACGAACACATACGAAAACAAGGCACTTCAGAAGGGAGAAGTCAACAACATGAGGATGAGAGTGAAAAAGAAAAGATCCGGAAGGTAACTGTTCTTTATGTCTAATAACGGTAATGATGAGAAGCTATGTTGTCTTGAGAAAGCGATTGATTGATACTTTCCAGTTTCCAAGTCGTCTAATAGCTTAGCCCTCAATTCTCTTACGTAAACAACTGCGACTTCCTGAGTGAAAAAATAATTAAATAAATAAAAAAATACAAATAAATATATAAAATAAATAACTGCCGGAAAAGAATATATTAACCCTCGGACGTACAAACAAACCAGAACCCAAAGGAACGCACCAGAGGGTAAAGGAGTGGGTGATTCGAAGTACCCCTTGGATTTTGATTCTAATGTAAATTGTACATTTAGATGAAAACAAGACGTCACTTAAAATCACATGACGTCACTTAATTCGCAATCTTCGATCCCCATCGTCTTCGGAATTTGATGAAAAATACAAAATCAATGTTGATGGAGGTGAGTAAATTTTAAATTCGCAATGCTGGTCGAAAGACCTGGCGAAACTGTATGTAAAAATGGGGTTGCTATGGCAATGCCAAATGACAACAAAAAAGTGGGAAAAGTACATCTAGTAAACTTTTTATCACGTTCTTGTCAGGATATAAGGATCAAACTCTACTCTTTGCTGCGTCGACTAGGAGGAACCAAGAAAGACATAAGGGCTGCTTACAGATCCATTATCTATAACATAAATGGACATCACGATAGTAAGGCTTACCGTAAAGATATATCATTATTATTTTCATGCAATTTTGGATGCCACAGTGTTGTCAAACTGTAGTCTTGCCAATATCATTTTATATTGATGATGACAGGAATGTTTTTTAGTCGACAGGCTGAAGCGACACTCGAATAATCAAAGTATTATTTTCTGGAATGATTTAACTTTAATAAAAAGGTGATCCAAACTCTTCTTCTGAGTCGCTCGTGCCGGAGTCACGTGACTCCGGCGTAAGCAACTGCGACAATACGTTGCTATGGTTTTACGTGCGTCTCGAACTATGGGTAAATGTAACAGTCGCGACTATTTTTCCTGCCCAGAATTAGGGCATCATCTTCCAATTTTCTGAATATCATTATCAATTGCAAACAGAATACTTCAGTCTAACTTTTGAAAGTTATAGCAAGAACTCTGAGGAAATTAAAAGTGTTGTACAGGCTGCCATCTTAGTGTCCCCAATTAGTTTTTTTTAAAGCTAAATACTAATGACACTTAAATAATTAAAAGTCTTTCATTTATTCATTCAACAGCCAGGGTGCACGAATCCAAAGCATTATGTTATATAGGTTGATATGATGCCTCTCTTATTACCTTTTGCATTTGCTTTAAATTAAGAATGAACATGAAATGTCTTCGAGAGTAGGAAATAAACCATGTCACGAAATCGTAGTAAGACGCCAAAACGTCAACTAGCCTTTATTAATATAATGGTCGACAAATTACTCCTTAACTTTGGAGCGCAATGTCAGCGTTGATTTATACTTTAACATGTAAAAGTACAAAATTGCCATGACAACTTTTGGCGCAAAATGTCTCGATAAAATAACCAAGTCAAGAGTCCAGGATTGTAAGCGTAATTTGCCACCCATTATATTAAAATGTAATCAAATAGTATACTTGATAAACTAAGAAATAATTTCACTTACGTTTTGTCAAAATTAAGAAAATAATAAAAATAATTTCCTAATTTCACTAGTCACCATTTTATTACCCATACTAATTTATTACAAAGAATGCTAAAATTATCCGGAACGAGTAATAATTATGTGCTATTGCCATAGTAATGGTGTGTTTGCTCTGATGAACTTCATTTCTTCCGTATAGGTGAAAACTGCAAAGACAAGCATAACTTATGTAATCAATGGGCTGCTGACAACCTTTGCGACAAAGGAAATGATACCATTGATTCTCAGTCCGTGCAAAGAGTTTGTCCCAAATCGTGTGAAGTCTGCTTCTGATGACCACTGAAACGGGTTTGTTTGAGGTAAGATCGCTGTGTGACAATTGTTTGTTACTACTGTTAGAGGTCCAAGGTACATGTTTGCATACAGATGTTTTGAGCGTGTTAGTTATCAAGATAACATTTAACGGCGCGAAACCTGTGATCTGACTTGACAAAAGGAGATCCTGAAGGGTTTTCATGGGAGCGAAATTGTAAAACGTTAATTGTAATGGGTAAACACATCATTTCAGTCCCGTTTTTACTGTGACAGTCTGGATACATGGAAATGAAATAACTAACTTGACATCAGCGGTTTGTCCTTTCCGACATTACTGTAAACTAACTCGCGTCAACCTTCGATTTATGAGGACCAAGGAGCAATTATATTCTGAAATATAACAGTTAACTTGAATTCCGTCATAAGGTGGAATGAAATACAGTGAGAGCTGAATTGTGCATTTCGAAATGATTTGACCTTTTTCAATTTAATTTATTTTTTTTAATATTGTTGTTGTTGTCGTTGTTGTTGTTTTTTTACTTTTTTATTTATTTATTTTTCAGGTTTTATGTTGCTTTACACAGCCTAGTTCCAAATAAAAAATAGGAGATCAGGATTTAATGCAGTCCGACGTCCGAAGAGATCAGTTTACGCTTTGAAATAGGACAATTCAAACCTTGGCCAGTAATATCTAAATAATGAACTTGTCTTGCAAACTAGAGTGACTTGAAATCCGTGTGCTATTGTGTGAGGATTTAACCTTTGAAGCAATTAGGCGTAACTTAATGTCTACAATGCAAAGGTGGTGCTAAGTATCAATTCCTGCAGTTTTTATCTGTTTATTACAGCTGGAGAGAGCCGGGCTGTGTCAGTATATAACAATTATATAACGTGCGTGTTCCTAAACGTTCTTCCGTGTCAGAGGAATAAATTTACGCTGAAACTGGATCTAATGCGGCCTCCAAAGATCGATATTTTCGACTCTTTGATTTTTATGTCTTTGGAGCGATTGTCTGACCATTGGCAAGGAAGATTCCCCTTCCTCCAAGAAGAACAGGTGAATGTTCGAATTTTCTATTCTGGAGATGAATACGGAATTGAGGCAAATCGTACTCTTGATGCGCAAATGAGGAATGCGCAACCATTCATCAATATCTGTACCCCGCTAGTATTACAAAAAGGAACAATAAAGATACAATGAAAGAAAAATATGCGTTGTACGAGGACTACCTTTTGGCCTGGCCTTAAACAATGAAGATTAACATTTGTTCATAAAGGCGTATTCCTAGATCTGCAAAACGGTTGGCATGCATCGTGTAAGGCAGGCTGGTGTTTTACGTTAAGACTGGTCATGGTTTTCTTTATCCAGACATAGACATAGACACAACAATTTTTTCTTGGAAAATTATGTCCAAGGGGGTAAGGTGCAAAGACTTTAACCTTATGTGAAGCACCAACCCGTGAGACAAAGCCAAATAACAACACCGGGAACTACGTGCTCTACTCTTTACGATAAGTGTGTGGATTCGTTTACGTCCCCGCTAACCATGTAATACTGAAGATGCAGGGGACGGGGCCTACGATTTATAGTCCTTATCCGAGAAGACTTGAACGTCTAACCATTTGCAGATGTAATTACAAAGGAAGCACATTCTCCTCAGTTATCTTCAGACCTTGAGTGTTGGTCCGGCCTGGGACTCAAACCTTCGACCATCCGCAGAGCAGTCTGGCGCTCTACCAACTGAGCTAACCAGACGGCGGCTAAAAAGATCCACCAGAAACATCACCTGATTATCCTAGAATGATGAGCACTTATTCATGCCTTGTTTCCCGCTGTTTCTTTCACAAAAAGTTATTTTAAGAATGCTTTCGGTATGCACGGAACACATTTTGCAATTGGACTACACTGGATGAAAATGTATTGATTATCGACAAGTTCAAGTGCCCTTTGCACCCTTTGCGCCAGCCGGCGCTATGGGGATGAGTGAGAGTGAGTGATTTTTTTTTTTGTCATAAATACCTTTCGAAAATTAACGATTAAGAACAAAAGAGGCGCAAATTTCCCCCGCCAATACTGAGAGGTTGGCTGCATGAAACGGGCTCCAAGATTTTTGTCATATTCACCCAATATCATTTCAAATACGTTTCGCAATAGAAAACCAAGAGAACTCCAACAAAATTCGGATCTTTTTTTATACATTATATATGATAGAGAACTGGACCATTACTCGCAGTAAAACAAAGCCAACCAGTCCTGTATACTGAGTTAGTTCATCCTTGCAACTGAGTAAAGACAAAATCATATCAAGCTATGAGTATGTAAACACCTTCTGACATCTCAGTGCAGCTGTAACTTCAAAGTCAGTGCGTGTAACTAATTCATTTTCCTGTCAATGCTCAAAGAATAAATTGTGGCATTTAACAAGTAGGCCAGTTTCCACCTTCTGAAATATAATTTTAGAACGTTAGGATTAAAAAATAACTTCAAGTTGTTCACGTTTTTTTGTAATTTAAACTTATTTCACAGCCTCCAGTCTCTCCCGCAAGAATACACTTTGTCTATGTGGTACTGACGTGGGAATCGAAAAACATCTTCAAAAAATGATAAAAGCTATTTTAATTTATTATTATTTCTTTTTATTTCATTTTTTTGGCAATCGATCCTAAAATGTAATCCTTTTTTCTCCTTTGCTAATATTTCAAAGTGAAAATAATTATGATAACCAAAAACAAAATAACTATAAATAAACACAGCCTGACCCACATTTGGAAGGTTGGTCAAATGTTACTGAAACAACTGTTTGCACTACAACAGCTGTTTATCCGTTCTTAGATTACGGGTTACTACCAAAATTGATTTTCCGTTCCGCACGTTTCTTTAATGTGACGTCTATGACAGACGGTGACATGCTAACAAAATATAGCTCAAGTGGGCAATCTATTTTCTGATTGGTCAATTCGGTAACTAGTCTGGTATTTAGGTTAAAACACAGCACTCGTTCCATACTTTCTTTATGGCTATCGGTAGCTGAAGAGCAGTTTCATAACACTCGTAACATGAAGATTTTGCTTCTGTATGGTGCACTCTTGACTGTCAGCCTTGTGCTGGCCCAGGAGCCACCGGGACCACCGGAACCACCAGGACCGCCGGAACCACCGGGGCCACCGGAGCCACCGGGACCACCGGAACCTCCGGGACCGTCGAAACCACCGGGACCGCCGGAGAAACATCCTTTGAAGGTGAGTTAAACATACGTCCTTTACACTGAAAAAGACCGAGCTAATGAACTTGCCAAATATAAAAGAGGGTCATTGAGTGACCTCTTGCTTCCAAGAAAGGTCGGGTGTTTGTTTCAAAAGTATAAGTTCCTTTGCTTTTCCTTCGTTCTAGTAGTAAACTATAAATGTGAACAAAGGCACAAACAAGAAACAGATTTCAAGCGCTACTCTTTACTTCAATTCTTTTAAATTTGGGTTAGTTCATTTATCGTTTTCACGTTTTGCAATAACATTACATTGTGCATTACAAAAATACGTACACCCGAGTAATAATCGAGTCTTATCTAAGTTGATTTGTTTATTATCGTTAGTCAGTGGACCACTGACTGAGTCATTTCTACTCCATAATTTCTGCTTTATTTCATACTCTATCCCAGTAAAATTGTGACATCACTCATTTAAGGCCAAGAAATAAGTGAATGACACCTTTTGTATCTTTCTGCAGCAATGCCAGGAAAAATGGAATATATGCGTCGGTGAAGAAGAGGGCGGTTTCGGATGTCTGCCGAAATACTACGAATGCTTGAATGAGTACACGGTAAGCAGCAGAAAAAAATTGTAATAAAGACTGTTATATAACTCAGCCCCCGATGGTCACTTGTCATACATAAAATCCACTCCCCATGAAAAACTACGACGTTACAAATCAGGTGAGCTACACGAAAGAAGAAAATCGTAAACTAAGGGACGTCGTTCACGTACCATCTGATAACCAAAACTACATCGAAGTGCCCAAAACCCCCGCGCATATTTAAGATTCTTGTCTACATCTACACATCACCCCAAAAGTTTTTATTGCTATTTTTGCGGTTCACCCATGCCACAGATTAAGACGGCTGAAGGGCTCATGTGACGAAATTAAGGAATCCGCAGGCTGAGGCCAGTACTTCTCTACCTTTTCCCTGTCCAAAGGATTCGATGTACTGTAAAATTTTGAACGATTTCGTCAAAAGAAATTTTAAAACAAATCACAAATAAGGTAAAAAAAAGGGCAAACAGCCCATTTTTGGGGCATTTTTTTTTCCTTCGAGAGTAAAAGTGATGTTTGTAAAACAATATTTCATCACTGCTCATTGCATTTGTTACGTTTGAGAGAACTGGGTGTAAGAACGAGTGTAAGACCTGCCGCTTCCAAAATATATCCCTTAGAAACAAATTGTTTGACAACACATATATACGATAGCTTGGCGAACTTCAGGTGTATACTACTTTAGTGTCAATAGTATACTAAACAATTAGATTATAATTATGAACTCACTATCTACAACAGAATAGGTAGTGAGGAGCGTAGCCAACCAGAAAACGGCATTCATTATAGAACGCTAGTAGATTTATACAAAATTGGAGGATTAAGACTTTTTATTCTAGAGATGTTTAGTTGTATTGCTTTGTGATAATGCAATTTATTTAATTTTTTTTTTTTTTTTTTTTTTTTGCATACACGTTCGTATTTTGATCGAGCTTACTTAGCTCTTAGGACGCAACGTCTCTAAATAAAGTGTTGATTGATTGATTGATTGATTGATTGATTGATTGATTAATTGACTAATTGATTGCTTGCTTGCTTGCTTGCTTGATCGATCGATCGATCGATCGATCGATCGATCGATCGATCGATCGATTGATTGATTGATTGATTGAGGGCTCAAGAAAACAGGCTCATCAAGCTGTAGATTTCCATAAACTATGTTGACTGTTTATATAGACTCTTCATTTTCTCTTAAGTATCAATTTTCCTAAGAAGGAAGCACAAGAAAAGCTGTGGGATTCAAGTACTTTACTACCTTTTTGGGGGGTTGGTTTGACAAAAACAACCCTCTTACAGCAACTGTCAGTAGAGACAGCATTAAATTTACACTTTTTATTTTATTTTATTTTATTTTTTGTTCCAAGTGAAAAGAGCATCTTATTAAACTCAGCATTCCTTTATTTTATAGAGGAAATGCAGGGAGCTGTACAAAAACAAAGGGTGTTACAACGCAATTGGAAAAGATGCCTGTTGGCACAAATTGGAAGTGTGTTATGGAAAAACTCCTGAGAAGTAATGGTTAACTGATGTGCACGCTCATAACAATTGTAACACGTTATGAAATGAAATGAAATAAAAATGAAATAAAAGTCGTGTTCGTTCTGTCATTTTGTTTTGAATGAATGGCGCAACAAGAAAAGAATAAGAAGAACAACTTGAACAAGTTTAACTTATTAAAACAGAAGTGAAGGATCCAAATTGGATTAATAGAGGCCGAGATTGTTCAATAAGCACATGTAATTGAAGCTTTGTAAGAGAACGGAACTTGAGAGAGTCAGGCAGCAGGTACCTGGGTCACATTGTTACAGGCTCCAGTTGAATATTGTGCAATTTAGCCGCAGTCACATGGTCAACAAAAAGAATCAATTATTGCTACGGGCGGACCAGTTGGCTATTTACAAAAAGTGGCGGGGTTGATTTCAGGACCACTGAATCCAGGTTAAGGATGGAGGAATTGAACCCGGGAGCCCAACAGTCTTCCCCGCCTCTTTCAAAATAAGCAACCTCTTCGCTGCCCCCACCCCCTCCCCTCGAGTCAGTTTTCGAGCAAAGTGTCTCAAATCGGTCGGTGTTAATCGCAGAATGTATGCTAATTAAGGCCAGAGCCAGTTCTTCAAAGGGTGGATGAGTGTTGAAAAACAAGACAAGCTATCGTTACATGGATTTTGATTTATCCTGTGTAGAGCGTTATACAGTAAGTGCAACCCTAGAACAACGTGGGCCAATTTTGTACGCTTTACCTAGAGTTGACATTATTAAATTTGACGCTAGAAGGCAACTCAGTCATTGGTTGATGGCACCACATATTAACATGCGGCAATTAGTATTCACAAGGACTCAAAACCAAATTGTAAGGTAAGGCCAATGATTACTGCTGGGACCATACAATTTTCAGCTGGAAACCTCCCAGTTTAGTCAAATATTATTTTATCCGAAGTAAGAAGATGGACTGACGACAAAATGCACATTTTTAACATGAGTCAGGTTCTTTTTTCTTATTTTTCTTTTTCCAATAAACAGAACAATTTCATTTAAAATAAATCTGACCGAGATAAAAAAAATATGCCCGCATTGACTCAAAGACAGTCCCACCGGCCAGAGGTCCTCTGACCACCCCCCTGACTAGGAGATTGGGCCCTCACGCATGCACGTAACATGGACCACTCCAGCAGGGTGCCATGTCAACACAGAAGCCTCGAACAAGGTTAAACAACTGAGTTAAATACCCAGAAACACAGCCAATATCAAGGTTATTTAACACTGAAAACTCAAAGTCTAGCTAGCTGAGAGTGTCAGTACAAGAGACTCTCCCCCCTGCTTTTGACAGCTGACCCCCAGCAAACCACCAGCAGGTAGGCCAGTACCTGGGCCTGGCCTTAACGGAGCCCCCCGTGGGTTTAAGGTCGCTTAGCTTAGCCAGGCGAAAACCCAGCGGGCATGTTTTCACGAAATCGCTCAGGAAAAAAAAAAAACCCTTCCACTGTTATTGCAAGAGCTTATTGTACGACGGTAATGTAAATATAAATCTGCCGCCGGCATAAATGAATTATAACGAATGCCTCTATGTGTAACCGTTAAAACGTTTCTTTTCCTAGGTTATATTTACTATTAATAAGAAAAAATTAAAACAAGGAAAAAATTAGAAGAACACCTCGAAAAAGTTAAACGGCATCTTTTTCATGCGAATTGTCTCTACTTTTCCTTCGATTCATTTCTCATATTTACTTTGGTTCTTCTTTCATTTATTTGCTAATTCACTTTTGTCAATTCTTTTTCTCAACACCTTAATCTATTTTGGAAACAAAGTCGAGAAAGAAAGAATACAGACAAATGTTTCTGTTTTGTTTGTTTGTTTGTTTATATATAAGCTAGTGACAGTGAGTGTAAACAGAGGTTTCATGAATGGCGAAATAACCATAATTCTGATAATATATTTCGCAGAAACAATTTTCAAGTGTGACTTCCTAGCCTCAAATCGTGTCCCTATAAGCATGGAGATATTCAAGGTGCATAACAGGGTGACAAGTTTGCGGAAAGGCAACACCTAAAACTTAAAATATTAGTTACTGCCATTTTCAACCGCACATAAGTGTGTAACCTTAAACAAATATCGAAGCAGAATTGATGCAGAACATATATCAGCCTTTGCTAAACCGATCAACAAGAAACCTGGTATTAGGTCATGAAATCGTGTAATATCTTCCAACACCGCGCTGGTCATCGCAAAAATTTCAATGAAGTAGTGAAACATGAAAAACGCATGAAATGCGTTGAATTACAGCCTCGTTTATTATTGATTAAAATGCGCTTTTCAGTTGTTTATGTGTACTCCTTCTTTCTTTTTTCTCGTTTTTGTTTTGTTCTAGAGTTAATATTTTCATGGTACTATACACAGAAGGAAGGATTATTGCTAAGGCTTTGCTTTCTCAGCTGAAACAAAGAAATAAGGTAAACGTATTCTAGCAAAGATAATGCATGTCTCTTCCACTATATAACACGAATCGAATCCAAGGCGAAAAACTTTAGGTTTACATTACAACTTCACACACCTTTAAAATGGGTCTTTCTGAAATAGCTTTTCGGCCGCTGGCTGTTGTAGCTTGAAGGATCAGTTTATTCCTGTAGGCATTGCTTTCGAAGGCAACCGAAAGCATCTTGAATAATTTCGGTTTTTACTCGAAACATCTTGAATAATTTGGGTTTTTACTCGGTTTGAAAAACGTGAGATTTTTTGGAAGGAGACCTCAAGCGATTTCAAAAGACCGGAACAATGACGCAATTAATCTACGGATGATTCTTGTAGCGTAAAATTTACGCCAAGTGCAACTGATAGAGACGACATAGCACGCAAGAAAAAAAAACTGACAACACAGATTGCAGACACTTTTCCGGCCGAAGAGTTACATGAACCACGCAGTAATAAAACATTATCCTTTATATCCGATCACAAAACGTTTGAGCTCATTGGACTTAAGACTCAATCAAGTCTTTAATACCTTTTACCACAGTTCATTCTGTAAGTTCTTGTAAAATGTTATCAAATGTCCTATAGATTTTTAAGATTAAGACAGAAATACTGATAATTACCACCAAGAGAAAGTAAAAAATTATCTTCAGTATCGCTGTAGGCGCTCCACAGCGATTTCAGCAACGATTTCAACAACGATGCAAAGAAAAAAATTATTATTTGACATGGTTCAACGTGGACAAAAGAATATTTAACACCGTTTATTGATCCATTAACTCTACCTGAAAAAATCTAACCTATTCTATCAATTGAACTCCTTTTCTTTACACTAACTTGCAAACTATAAATTTCCTTTTTTGCACAGTATTCTTCCAGCTTTTTTTTTCGTTCAACGAATTTCCTTAAAATTCAACTGATCAGTAAACACATGTTGCTCTGTGATAAAAGGCGATATTTTCTTTAAACCGGTTGTGTTGCCTCAGCTTAAACAAGCAACCCGGTAAATTCCTTTTAAAAAGAAATCATTTCTTTGTTTTGTTTTGTTTTGTTTTGTTTTAAATAAAACCATGAACCACAATACCGATAAAAAGAGCTAAACCCCCACCTGCATACAATAGACAGAGTTACAAAGTAAACAAGAACCTTTCAGCTGCATGGACACAATGCCTTTCCATTTGTTCCAAAAGACAAAACACAACATATAAAAGACAGAGCTATTTTGAATGGGTACTGCATTTCTTAGAACCTGAGTTCGATAGCAGAAAAGAGATCTAAAATGAAGTCTTTTGTGGCCATTTTCCTGTTTGCCTTCATGGCTAGCCTTCGTGCAGACGATTTTGAAGAGTTATTATTGGCTGACGACGATGAGGGCGGAGTTCCCGACAGACATCCTTATGTGGTGCGTATGGGTCACTGACTTCCGTAAAAAATATTATATTAAGAGTTTGAACGACAAAAAATATATCCGTTCACATTGTTGATTCAAAATAAAGTAAATTGGTTACCTAAAAGGGTACATTTCGGTAGTCACAATGTATAATGTTTCAGGCGTTCATATTAAAATGCTGATTTCAGCACGTAGTAAAAGGCATTGTCCATAAATTTAGACAATTTTAAGGAAAACAAATCGCAGAGCAAATTTCAGTAAATCATTAAGATCACTTTTTCCTTTGCAGTGTTTTACTTAGCCGCAACCTCAGCCTGGAGGCGACAACTATAATGCCAGCCAACTGTTAATTGATTTGTCCTTAGATATTTGGTTTTGTGGTGCTGTTCTTGTTGTTGCGCCGGTATTTGTCTTTGTTGTTGTTGTTGCCGTTTTTAAAACTAGATGTCAATTCCTTTTTATGTTTTTTGTATGATGTTTCTATAGCAATGCAAAATCGACCTATATGACTGCTTTAAAGCTGGAATTCTCAGCAAGAAGGAATGTATGTTGAAGTACAAGTCTTGCATGGCTGTGTTGATACCAACCTTACCGCCAATTGTTGTAAGTATAATGTTGCTTTAAAATGAAGCTGAAACGTTTTAATTGGAAAAAAAATTTGATCGAATTCATATTTTGTTAGCTAGTGATTTCAAACCAATCAACACTGCAATCCTTTATTCATGGATTTTATGCTGAAGAACATAGATATACAATAATAAGTCGTAGTTAGTACTAAATGCAAGTAAAAACTATGATTGCTCTATTTGAGAGATCAACCGCTCATCTCATATATATCTCTGCGTTTCCCACCATTTCGTTCATAATGTATGATCATTTGATTTTATATACGTGCTTGTTTGTTTATTCATTTATTTTTATGATTAGACAACTTGCAACAACAAGCTGTACGACTGCATTAAAGCTGGTAAAGGGAAGTTGGAATGTATGAAGGAGTACTCGTCCTGCATGTCTGCGATTATACCATCTCTACCACCATTCGTGGTAAGTGTTATACGAAACATCGATACACTGCTTGCTGCTGACATCAGTTCGTATTGGGTGTCTGTTCACTAATTGCGCTCCGTTCACACTACGCCGGAGAAATTTGAAAACGGCGTTTTTACTCTGAAAGCCCATCACATGTTTTCTGTCCACACTGCGCCGGAGACCAAAGTCCAAAGACCAAAGTCCAGGGAACTGGAAACGCAAAAATCACCAGCCATTTTTAATATGGGTTTAGGAAAGCTCGGGCAGGGAAATCACACATGAAAATCGCGATGTCATCGTTTTTGGAAAGCTCCGCTTCTGAAATGTTTTTCCTCCACACTAAAACGCAGAGCCGGCGTTTTTAAATTGCCCGCTTTGAAGAGCGTTTTCGAAAAGCTCCGTTTTCGTGAAGTTTTAGTGTGGACGGTAGGCCTAACCGTAGAAATAACGCACCTTTTTTTAAAATTTCTCCAGCGTAATATGGACGGGGTCTAAAATGCCGCAAATGTATACTACCTTACCAGCGTTTTATGGTTGAGAAAAATGAACCAGTGAATGGGTCATAAAATGGATATTAACCCTTCATCAGACGAAAGAGTTCGTCTGGCCGTTTTTTATTTTTTTATTTTTTATTTTTTTGTCATAACTTAAAGGAGCTACGTCACGATTTTTGCATCTTGAAAAACTTAGCCTCAATTTTTCAAGCTCGTCGTTTTCAATCCGTTTTAATCTTCTCCATCCTTGACCATCGTTGCTCCCTCATGGTTTATTGTTACCTATTTGGTGTTTTTCTATCTTAGTAAACTACACTTTTCATTTCCTTCAATTTAAAGGTTATTTTGTACATAGCCAAAATACCGTGACTGAGCTCCTCTAACATCATACAGCATGACAATCGGTTATCACTGTGTAACGTTTTGACTGAAATAGCTTGAAATGCATGGATCCAATATTCCATCTATATGTTTGCTTGATTTAATATATGGGTTGTTCGTTGGTTGGTTTTTTCCAGACAGCCTGCAACAACAACTTAAAACAGTGTCTCAAAGAGCAGAGTTTTCTAGCTGGCAAAGCACAGTGTTTCGTTGACTATGGGAAATGCCTCATAAACAAAGGGTCAGTGACCGAAGCTTTAATGGATGCCAGTAACGACGGGGAACCTGGTAGACACCCTTATGTGGTAAGTTCGATAAATTTGTGCGCCAGGAAGTTACCCATGGGCTATTTTTCTTTCGTGAGCCTAATGGAGGGGGGGAGGTGGGGATTCTGCCACACCTCAGTTCCCTTCCGCATGTAATTATTTCCCAAAGTATCACAATCAGTGGTATTAAACTTATATTCATGGCCTGTAAGACTCCGAACCTGTTTACTTTAGTCAGATCGCCAAAATGATGTCACAGATTTTTAAATGTTCCCCATCGTGGATCAGCAATATTGGATTTTGTTACCTTTTTTTGTTTGTTTGTTTTTAAATCTCATTGATTTTGTTTTAATAGTTAACTACACGCCACATATATATATTTTTTCTTTAGCAATGTAAAATCGACCTGTATGACTGCATGAGACTTGGTGTCAAAGGGAAGCTTGAGTGTATGAAGGAATACAAAGACTGTATGGCTGTGCTGATACCAACAATACCACCATTTGTCGTAAGTAGATTATTACAACTGAACTCTGTATTGGGAGAAGCCTTAAGAAGACTGCTTTCGATGATTGGTACGTAATGTCTTGTTGATTGTCAGCATAAACATAATCATTCTTATTCTTTTGTTTAAGAAGATTATTCAACATAAGGAGAACATTTACTTAGCCGACCGATGGCTGTTGGTTGGTATAGTTATCGTAATTAAAACGGCCTAATCACGTGACCGTGTCCCATACAAAGTGCCGATGGAATTGCAATGCCTGCACAGCACCAGAGTAAAATCTCATACAAACTTGGGCACAATTATTTCAGTGCTAATTTTGCAAATTGTCCCAATGAATTCTTAATTTGGATAGTTGTCCAAATTAAAAAGTAACTTTAACAGTTCCTATGGGCAACATATTTAACAAATCAGAGGACTACATGCTGCGCAATTTGGAAATAATTGGATTAAACAAAATTCCTCTAACAGTTCTCCTCCAATTTTGGCTGTCCTCGGAAACTCTCTCAGCTAATTATTTCCGAAACTGGACAGCATGCAGTTCTATTACATACACTGACAGTACCATGACGATCTCGATACATTTTGCCCGTTCTTCCCTCGTTGAGACGAATATATATTCAATTAGTTTGTGTAACCGGCATTTCAAGCGATTCTTCATAGATTGGTTTTGTCTGAAAACATAATTGCCTTCTTGCGGTGTCACATGAATTTCACATTATTTAGTGAGTAGACCTCAATTCAACTTTAGCTGAATTGGACGTGCCTGTTTAAATATTGCGTGGAAATAAACAAATAAATTAATTAATAAAGTTGTATACCGCGAATAAGCCGTTCAGTTTAATTCACTTGTTTGATTGCTTCATTTGTTTCTACTAGATAACTTGCAAGAATAACTTAGCACAGTGCCTGAACGAGTCGAAAGGATTGAAAGAAAAGGCCCAGTGTTTCCTTGACTTTGGCAAATGTCTGAAAAACAAGGGACCGGCTTTTGCATTGGATGCGATCGAAGACATGGGACAAGTACAGGATGAAAACGGATATATAGTTAGTTTTTCATGAATAAATGTAAAGGTCAACACAAAAGAAATCGTATAGCAGTTAGATAAATGATATACTATCAATAAAGTACTATGCTAGGGCATGACATTTCCATTCGAAATCGCTAAATTGAATGCAGACGTCTTTGACGACTGTCTAACCATATGCCTGTTATCTTTATAACCAGAGTAGGTAGGTGTTTTAACTCACTGGCAATGGATACACCTGGCTAGAAGTCACTTTTAAATGGGAATATTTCAAGAATAGTAATCTCTAGGGGCAGGAATATTGGCCACGACACCAAACAAAGTACTAATTTTAACTTTCTGATCTTTAGTGCCATTGTCTAGGGCAAGCAAAGCAAAGAAANAAAAAAAAAAAAAAAAAAAAGCGAAAATTCAAAGTGAACAAAAGGGGTTATAAAAAGGAAAAAGTTTGGAATTTAGAATCACTCCTACCTTGAGCTTTTCTAAAAACATTTTCCAGTGAAACATGCATAGCAAGCCAATTTGTCCGAATCCATCAGAGACCATCATGGCCACGCAATAATCGCCTTATCTTCACTGTTCATCGAGGGGGTGAGGGGTGAGGGAGGAGGGGGTGGAGAAATATTCACAGATCATAAAGAAAAAAGAATCAAACTTTTCATTAAGTTGCTCAGGAAACCTCTTGTGTATTTTACGGTTAGACAACATGCAGTGGGTGCCACTCAGTTCTTAGACAAGATCCTGGCCAGTTCCACTTGATCAGATTTTTAAAGGAATAGATTCGTTGGTTTATCCTTATTTGATATCTTTAAATTTTCGTATCTCATCTACCAGAAGGTTGCTTGACTGATATGTTTTAGTTCAGTATTTGTAATTTGTTCATCTCTAAATGTAGCAATGTGCGAAGGACTTCTACCAATGCTTCAAGGACAAAAAGGACGCGAAGACATGTGCAGCTGAATACAAGGCTTGTGTGGAGGCACTGATTCCCGACTATGTGGTACGAAACGCAAGCAAACTTATTTGTTTTTTCGCGATTTTAATTAAACTTGAAATTTTATTTTTCCGACTTTGAGACAAGACAACGAAAAGCAAGTTGCTTTCAAATTTCAACTGAGTTGTAAAATTGAGGTTATTTTTATTTTTATTGCTTTAGTTTTTGTCCGCAAATTGTTGTTTAGTGCATTATGCTATGGCTCGGCAAAGAAAAATAATGATAATAATAACATAAAAGTGTCCATACAGTTTTATTTTGTTTGCAATAGCTGACTTCTTTTTCTATCGAAGATCTTTATATTGAAGGTGCATTGCCTAATAGGCTGGGGAGCTTTAAGTACATTTCGCTTTCGTGAGCGATTGCTGTAAAATAAAAAGCAGTGTACTACAGTTTTCGTCAAAACGTAATGAAAGAGCTAATAATTAAATTAGCTTTTAGATGTATACTTACAAGATAAAGATCTGAGACATAATCCTAAAATAACGCCATTCTAAGACGTTAAACTGTTTTATTTTATTTCACTGTTTGATTATAAATTTTATGATATTTATTTGTTCATCTTTTTGGTGAACAATTGCGACCTCAAACAGCTCTAGACCTTAGAGAAAGCTTTTTATATATAGATCAGTACGCTCTCTCTCTCTCTCTCTCTCTCTCTCTCTCTCTCTATATATATATATATATAGATATAGATATAGATATAGATATAGATATAGATATAGATATAGATATAGATATAGATGTAGATATAGATATAAACATCATCAAAAATCATAAGTCCATCGTTTTAATTTATCTCATTACTATTTTGTTATTAAACATACAATTTTTATTGAATCTTGTGTTCTATCCTTCTCATCTACAGAAGCAGTGCTACGCGAAAGGTAAAGAGTGTTATACAAGTGCAACCACTGTGAAAGAAAAGTATGAGTGCGCTAAAGAACTGGGCACCTGCCTTAAAAATGGCGCTTCCAGCTAAGCTACTACACGAACCCTGAAAGTTTGAACCAGCACTGGATGGATACATAATGAAAGGGAAAAGCTAGTAGTTTGACAGTAAAAAAAAGAATAGAATAAAAAGAACATTAAATAATACCATTGTGGTTGCTCTCTTTGAATCCTTTGTATTTCTATTCGTCGGATGACGATCGATTGTATTCCCATTTTACTTATTGAATTACTTATAACCCCCCCCCCCAGGGGGGGGTATATGGGCTATATAGGTATATGCGGCCCTGAAGGATATGGCTTTTTAGCCGTTTCGGTCATAAATAGGATATCTATTTTGGCCCTTTGGTCAGAAATTAATAGGGTATGGTTTTTACACCCTGGTCTTGAATTAAGTATGTTATTTAGAAGAAGCTACTTTTTCATCATTAACGATAATACCATCAACAAAAGCTTTTCATAAATTATGTTTAGAGCAGCTGTGCCAGCCGCTACGGCCATAAATAGGGTATCGAATATTTGGTCAGGTCATAAATAGGGTAGGGAAAATCGCAGATTATGGTCATAAATAGGGTAAGAGTCTTGGGGAGCGAGTCGCACACCCCCACCCAATTTTTCTGGGAGTACCTCCTCCGGGCTTATAACTTCCCGATCAAGCCTAAAAATCTATATACATGGACAATAATCACATAAAAGGTCAATCTGTAAACGAGAATAACCTATTTTAGAGGTACATCAATCGCAGATTCCACTCCTGAAATTAAGACACCGTACCATTTAGATCCGGCTAATGTTTTTCATATTTCAACGTTTTCAGATCATTTGGTTTTTTTCGAGGGCAACACAACATCGATACGATGCATTGAATACAAATGTTAGTGCAGTTTTATAAGGAAAAAAAAGTAGCTAATCTTTGAATAGTGAATGTTGATTCTGCATTATTATACACCAGGTGTTAGCACAAAATGCTAATTATTTCTCGCCACCATTGTACTCAGATATTTTATTTCCTCTTCTTTCGCATGCAAATAAACATGCTATTTCTACAACTGTTGTCAATGATCTACAAAAGTAATTTTTATCTGAAAAGTTTGTCAATAATGTTCTTCCGAAGAATTTTCTGATACGAGAAAAATCAAAGTGAATTTAGATCAATTAAGATCATTAGGGGATTTCAATCGTTCTTTCCAAGTCATGCAGTCCCTTGTTTAATCCTTTTTATTTTATTTCATCATATTTTTTAAATTGCAACATGTTAGTGTCTGACCCACCCACTCTGGGGAGTGGGTGGCTATACACAGGCTACCATCATTTGTTTGGTAGGGGGTAGCTAGTTAATTTTATAGACGTAAAGATACAGGTTACGCAAACAAACTGACATGCAATGACCACTGCTATGAAAACTGAAAACAACGCGTTTAGCTGCATATTCTTAGTTTTTTTTTTTTTTTCTTTTAAGAAGAAACCATGCACTTTGAACCCACATTAAAGTATACATTGAAAATATCACTCACGTAAGATAAAAGCAGAGAGATAAATTGTAGAAAAACGGCAAAATATCACCCTGGAAATAATTAAGTTCACATTCACTGAAGGTAGGCCAAAAAAAACCTAGTGAAACCCAGGGGAACATTTATGTTAAGCGTATACACCAACAATTACTTTTATTTTATTATTATTATTATTTCTTCATTTTGAGACTTGAATTATAAAATCTTTAGGGAATGCCATGCAAACAGCAGAGATATGATATCTTATGTTTGTCCTGAGAATTTAAAAAAAAAGTTAAAGGAATATATTTTGACTTCCCAATAGACTCTGGTCTAACCCTCACCGGCAGAAAAAAAAAAAAAAAAAAAAAAGAGGACTGTTATCTTTACTCCAATCACGGTTCATAGCTGCCTGACTCACTGAACGTAATTTAAAAATATGCAGTATTATTCTTGCGACAACAGATATCAAACTGGGAAAACAGACTGAGCAAGAAATGTGACAAAAGACGATATCCTAGCCCACTTAGTCAGCAATTTAGACAGCGTAAAACAAAACAATTCAAAAGAAAATAAATAACATGAAAGGTAAATGTTACAATGTCAACAAGACATCACCAATTGGTACAATGCGATTGAATCTCATTGGTTCTTTGAACGCCACATATGTCACTTGTTAAGCCAAAAGCTACTCAGTTGTCCAATTACAGCTGTCCAATCAATTGAAAACGGCCAATAATCAGACAACTGTAATTGGACGGTAAGCTTCAATAAGTTGATTTGTAGGTACTGTCAAAGTAAATATATCTTTGCTTGGTCAACGGCCGTATGATCACGTAGTATTAGGGTATATCAAGAGGTAATCATGTTTCAAGTTTGACATACATACACTACAAGGCCAGTTACTTGCTCGATATACTCCATGAAACTTACTTGTCAACTATTTCGCAAATCTATATTTCCCAGAAACAATGATTTCGTAACATTAAGTTCCTGGATCGTTTCACAGATATTGCTGTGATCAGATGTTAACACTTCTGCATAGATCAGAACATATTACTTTGCTCAGATGTTGGCAGTTTTAGTTAAGCCTTCGTCCTATTGTTGTTATTTAACACCGATATTGAATAGTATGACCACCTCTGTAAGTAAACTCGTTAACGCTTCTGTTGCTCAACAAACGCGAAGACCTTTGTTCTCCATTGAAGTCTTAGTAAACTGTTCTGTCTTTATAGGCAGTGTACCTGGGTCGGACAAAAATACATTCATTTCTGATTACTACGTACAGAGGCTTGTTCAAGATGAAGACTTTTGTGGCTGTTTCACTGTTTCTAGCCTTTGTAGCTATGGTCCGCGCCGATGATTTGGTGCAGATGCAAGATGATTCGGCAAAGTTGGTCTTATTGTAAGTTATCGTTTCTGTTAACGTTGCTCCAGTATGAACTACAGACCTGACGGCCAAACCTGTAAGCTTTTTGTTCCCGTAGAGATTTTCCAATTTCGGTACCTCAATTACAGTTCCCTGCTAGTTATTATTTATTATAGATTCCTTGTACTGGTACTTTTCCGCCACTGACCCAAATTAACATAGCTTTACAACTCTTCTATAGAAAACGAAAGCCAGAATTAATTACACCACTAAACTTTTATCGAAAAACAATGTTTCATGTGCCTATCTATTCAAAACATTTCTCGAATGATAAGGAAATATATCTTTTTTATCTCTTTACTTTTTAGCAATATCAAAAAGACCTCTACAACTGCATCAAAGCTGGGAACAGCACCAAAACTGAGTGCTTGGTAGCCTACAAGAACTGCATGGGATCAAATAATCCTACTATGCCCTACTTCGTGGTAAGTGCACGGAAGTTCCAATCGCATGTGTTACAAAATATTTCTAGGATTCATCCTGTTTAAGTCAAAATAAAATCTCAAGCGTATTATCCAAAATATGTAATTAGTTTCTTTTTGAAGTAAAAAGGGTAGCAAAATACTTTGAAACTACTTTTGATGTAGGAGAGTCAGAAGAGTCAGGCCCGGCGGGGGTACTCCCTTATATGGGCTCTATAGGTATGTCCGGGTAGGGTTTTTCAGCCGTTTTGGTCATAAATAGAGTATCGATTTTGGCCATTTTGGTCATAAATTGGATATGGTTTTAGCACTCTAGTCTTAAATTGGGTATGTTTCTTAGCTAGAGGAAGCTACTTTTTCATCATTATCAATAAGACCGTCAACAAAAGCCCTTCATAACTTATGTTTAGGGCAACTGTGTCAGCCGCAACGGTCATAAATAGGCTATCGAATTTTTAATCAGGTCATAAATAATGGTAATTGAACTAAGTGGAGTGCAATTTGATCTGAAATCAAACGCGTGATTTCAAAATCGAACGAGCGCGCAGCGCGAGTTCGATTTGAAATCACAAGTATGATTTCAGACCAAAATTGCACGACACGGAGTTCAATTGCCACTTTATTAGATCCATTTTGAAATCGCACAATTTTATCGCCTTAATTTTTAGATTTTTGATGTACATGTATTGTTCCAGTAGCCGGTTTGTTAAAAAAAAAAA